AAGAAACCAGTTGAAATCCCTTATGGAACCAGACTGCTAAACCATTAGTTGCCTCCTTCCCAGCCATAGGCACATACACCAGCCAAGATAAAAACTCTTGCAAGCCACATGGGAACCAAGAGATTTTAGTGGGCACTGTTCAGTGGAGATGTGGTTGGGCATAGGCAGTATTACCACTCCCAGTCATTCAAGCAGGCTCCAAAAAATTCATAGACATTTGGGCTGGAAGGGACCCCGGAGGATCATCAAATCCAGCCCCCAAAATGAGAGACTGAAAAACCCTGAGAACTACAATAACATTTTTTGTTCCTTTTTGGTTTCTTTAGCCATCTAGGTTGAGGTCAGGCTGTCAAGCTTTTTCCCAGAACCATGAAAGTTTACTTAAAAAAAGAGAGAGAGAAAGAGAGACAGCTGAGATTCTCTTATAGTCACATGAGTCCAGAAGCTGGGACTTCCCACCAAACCCAAATATTGAGAGACCAACCCTATAGGGACAAGAGTTGGCAACACTGCCACATTCACTTGCAGCTTGGAAAGTCACATGAACCGATATGGAAATGTTCATGTAGTAGCAACTTGGTGTTGGGTCTTAATCCTGTTACAAGCGGAACGAGAAACACACCTGAAATAATCCCCCTCCCCACGCCCACTTCCCTTCTATGGATCTGGGGGCATTCAGAAGTTTGTTTGTTGCTGAATTTGCACTCCCGGTGCTAGGGAATGGTAACCCTGTTCTTTTTTCTTTATGAGAGAGGAAGGAAAGGTCACCGCAAGTTGAAAAGCAAACAACCACGCAAAGAACGGCCGTGTCCAAAGCGGAGGGATGAGCACGGCCCTTGGAAGAGTTGCTGGGCAGGTCTCCTTAACCACAGTCAGTTTTGGACTGCGCGTCACTCTGCTCGGACAATTGCAACCGCGCACCTGCGTGTGATTTCAGAGGCCCATCTACCTATGTGTAAAATCCTGACGCTGACTGGGGGCTAAGGGGTGGGGAAGAAGTTCAAGAGAAGGGATTTCCTGGTTCACAAATAAAAATGTGCAGTGGAGCGCTCACTAAGTAAACAGAAAACATGGGCAGCTGAGAGAAATCAATTTAGCTGAACAAACAATGTTCCATGTAATGAACTACTAATTATCCTTTTATGCCATGTCAGTCTGAGTGATTACAGAGCTGTGCAGTTTAATTTGACGTTTGAGCATTGCCTTGCTCCATTAGCCTCATATAAAGCTACGACACATTGAGAGGGGGGGAAAAAATGTGGTGATGGCAGCGGGAGGGGGGGTCGTATTTATCCGGAAGGAAGCAAGCAAGCACCTGTAGCAGCAACGAGGAAAATATGGCTTTAAAAATGTCCTCGTGGTGATAAAGGGGACTTGGGAGAGCATGAGCTTGGTGGATGCCCCCTTGGAAAACCTCCTTAGTGGGTTGATAGTGTCCCAAATCTTTAGGGCATGCATTAAACCATCCTCAAGTATATGAATAAATAGATATCGTGGGTCAGATGCACAGACAGGTTCTGCTGTCTCTAATTAACAGGCCCCAAGTGGTATTTGCCTTCAGATACAAACTCCAGAGGAGGGGGAATGTGTGCGCCTTCCAGGTCTGACAGGGAATAAAACCAAGACTTTGTGGGGATAAATCTCTTTCCATGTACTTTTTTCCCCCCTTGAACTGGCAATTTCCACGCAGTAGATAAAGCAAATCCCCTGGGTACTTGGGAAATCTCTTGGTCGATCAGGGACTGAAAGCAGTGTATGATAAATACTACTTTATTATCACACTGTTTGTCCAACTAGCTGTACTGATAACAGGATTAGAAAGAATTAAGGTATGGAGAAAGCTAAAGACAATCTTGGTGTATATATATAGTAAATATTAACTCTGTGGCTACCAGTGAGACGCAGTTATCTGTGTTGGTCTGAAATCAGGCAGAAGGCAGGGTAGATTTGTCCCTGATAGACTAATGAAATCAGAGATGCGTAGCATAAGCTGTTGTGAGCCTGAGCTCACTTCATCACTTCGGCATCTGATGAAGTGAGCTTGGGCTCATGAAAGCTTGTTCTATACACCTCTGACTGTGTCGGTCTATAAGGTTCAACTCTCCCCTGCCTTCTACCAGTACGATCACCGTGTTTTGAGAGATGGAAGCAAACACATTTGACTTTTACTTTCAGAATGGGCTGAATCAAAAGCCCCTCCAGGAAGGTACCTAGAGTTATTGCAAATATAATAGCACAATAAATGAGGAGAAATGGCCTGGTTGTCCATTGTGATGTTCTGCAGTATGCAACAACTGCACAAAGGAGAAATGTGACCTTCCCGTCTCCCATGTTAATACTTCTCTCGTTAGGTGAAATACTGATAAACCTTCACCCCAGCAACAACTCAAGAAGAAGTTTGTTATAAACTGCCTAACATTTCCAACATCTGCACAGTTGAGGATGGTTAGTGGACTGACATACTAAAATAGTCTGTACTGGCTGGGAGCTGATCTCCAGGTGTAAAAGTGTTTCAAAGCACTCTAATCTGGGAGAAAATTTGAGGAAATGATTTTTTTCCCAACACATCAGTTTAAGATTGATTTTTAATCCAAAAGAGAATGAGCAATAATTTCCCTAAAAATAACTTCCCCAGACTGGAAACCCCAGTGCTACATTTCAGCACTTTCTCTTTCAGACTGAATGCATTATATATCATTCACTTCGGGCTAGCTCTTCAGCAGCTGTAAATCAGCATAGCTACCTTGATTTTTGTGAAGCTATGCCAGTCAACACCCGCTCAGGATCAAGCTTCATGTACATAATGAACTACAAACCGTTGCCCCCGGCCCCACGTTCTTGCCATTTCAACACCCTATCCCATCGCCCTTTCTTGGCCCTTCTTTCGGCTAGTCCCAGGGCTCCCAGGCTGTCCCCGTTTTAAGTGACCTTTAGACCTGCTGAAACATATCACATTGACAACCCTGAAGAGCGAAGGCTTCTTATCCACTGTAGAAGTATCACGAAAGTGGAAATTTCCCTGACACCCCTCTTGCCAATAGGCTTCAGTCCTAATTGGGAATGACCACCATTAGGGCAGTTCAGTCTTCATGCCCATTCAGTTTGTGGGCTTTCTGCTGAGCCCGGGGGCCTCAACTGTGATGGTGCGTTTTGTTATTTGGACACCTGTCCACTGGGAACATGCTGGTGACCATCAAATGCATTTTGCACAGGACATGAAGCGCCTACCAGGTGGTGCTGACTTTTTGGTCAGATTAGAGTGTGCTGGCTGAAACGCGGTTCGGCTCTAAGCCATTTGACGTTAGCTGAATCCCATCCAGTTCCCCCAGGACTGAATTGGTCCCACTGTTCCTTTTTTAATCTGCCAGTTGTTATACACATTGGGGTCTTTCTCCACTGGGCATTTGTAACTCCCATTGATGCTAATGGGTGTGACATGCATGTATCCAGAGGAGAATAGACTCCATTGATGATAGCAGCCCCCAGGCTTGAGCGATGCTCAACACTTGATTAACCTAAACTAATGAGGCACAACTAGGCCCAATGGAAATGCATGAGACTCATGCCCTCTCTGAATCTGTAGGAAACCTGCAGCATTTACAATGGGGTTTTTCCAATCCAACACGCAGGAAGGCTTTGCTCTCCTCCTGAGCTAACCCCCTGGAAAGTATCGGCGCAAAAGAACAGTAAGCTCTTGCAGGCAGGTGCTGCGTCGTTGCTGCATGTGCCTGCACCGTGCCAAGGGTGTTGATTCCTGATAGGACCCTTGGTACTACTGGGGTATAAATTATGATATGAGATGGTTTCAAAATCTTCGAAGTCTCTTCGGATTTGAAATGAGATGTGAGGCCAGCTTTCATTCACGGGCTCCTTTTCAGAGACTAGGAGCTTGGAGTTTTTTTGGGATGCCTTCTCCAGGAAGGTAAGATTTGGCACTGTTTCTTTCTGGAGTCTCTCTAGGGAGCACTCCAGTTGGTATGAGTCAGGTAAGAACAGGCAGCTTTCTTTTCCCCTAGTATAAAACAGTCACAAATAGGAAGCCCATGAGAGTCAGCCTCCCAGCCAGTGTCTGTTACATACCTGGTGTTGGTACCTGGAGTACTATCCACCAGAATAAGGGCTTGTTCCTGAAGGCTGCTTTGTGTTCCCTGCAAGAAATTAAGGATCCTTGTTTGCCTCTGAAATCAACACCGGGAAACGTCCTGTTTAACCTGTTCCTTTTCCCCTTGAAATCAATGCAAAGCTCCAACAGAAGTTTGGATCAGACCCTGAAACAAGCAGGAAACAGCATTAGAAATCTTATCTACCTGTTACAACGTTTGTTGAGACCACTCAGGATAAAAGTTGTCGTGCATCAGTTGTTTCCCATTGTATTTTGCCCCCTGCCAGTACATTCTGGGGCAGGGCAGGTTCATAGTTTTTGTCATATCTTGCAATGCTTGCCTTTATGTAAGTGCTGCTAAGAATAAAATTAGCAGTGGGAGAAAAGCATCAGTTTGATGCCTATATTTAGCAAACTTGATGAATAAATCTATTAACTTCATTGTGGGAAGAGAAAAGAATAGCAACCCTTTGTTTAAAAGAGAGATTAAAATAAATATAAAATAAGAGCTGATCATCCCTCTGATTTCTTGAGGGAGATGATTAAAAGTCCTCTCCTTCCATGCAGAAATCTAAATCTCTGTGGAATGCTTTGGACTGACTCCTGGTGACCCTGAGGGCCTGGACACATGAAGCATTTACCCAGGTGTAATGTGTGTGTGTTTTGTAAAGTGCTTTCAGGGGCCTAATCGTGCAAAAAATGTAACTTCTGTCTGCACCCCTCAAGGTCCCAGGTCCCAGTGTGACAATGACTAGTGAGTAAAAACCTGATTCCTTGACTGGTAGTGATGTGAAGGAGCACAAAGTACTGTGGTGTTTAAGGGAAGGAATGTAAGCATATACACAACACATGATACTTACGGGGCATGTCTACACAGACATTTATGCTGGCTAAAATTTACTGTGCAGTAAATTACTGCTCAGTAAGTGGGAATAGGCTGGCATCTACATGTGCTGGCATTAAACCGCATTCATGCTGTGTGCAGACTGACTTAGGACTAAAATTAGTCTGAAGTCAGTCCACACACACACTGTTACTGTGCAGTAAGGCGTCTACATATGCGTTACTGCACAGTAATTCATCTGACGTAAATCTGATACCTGCATGGTGCAGGTATCAAATTTATACTCAAGTTGGCGCAAGTCACCATATTTATTGTACAGTACAGGTGTGCATGTGTAGGTGCACACCTGTACTGTGCAGCAATTTTAGTTGCTGCACAGTAAATGCACATGTAAATATGCCCACAGTTTCCTAAAGTGAGGTTAAGTTCAGTATAGAGGACCTTCATAGAAACATATGCAACATCTAGGCACCACAGGAAAGATCAAAAGTGTGGGTACGCTATAGATATATTGATAGATCCCCTAATCCAACAAAGCACTTGAGCACATCAAAGTCAAAGGTCCACTCAAGACGAGCAGCCCATTAAACTACCATGATTAAGGCATGCCAATCCTTGTAGCCAACAGTACACAACCGAGTGATGGGGCTAACATTACACCTAGTTGCTTTTGACTCATATAAGCCTAAATGACCAGATACCGCTGGGTTCACTGGGACAGCCTTCAACCTCATGTCTTCTACAGCCAGAGTATTTCACCTTCACTGCTCTACCACGGTGATCCAACTTGGGCACCTGTGTAAATTTAAATACAAAAGTAATCCCAGTGTCTTTGATGATATTATTCACACATTTAAAGTTCAGCATGCATTAAAGTCTTTGCTGGGTGGTGGACATAAAGCCATTCTGCCCTGCAGGTGATTTCTACTGAAGGAAGACATCTCATTTTCTAGGATGTTGGGCTGTGCTGGAACGTGGATTTCCTTTGTCACAGCTCACTGACCCGTCTTCTTCTCCAAGGCAAGAAAGAAACTCGGTTATGAGACATGATAAGGTCTAAGATATGGGACAAAACCCCAAAATCACAAGCTGAGGCTTAGCTATAATGCATAAAGGAGCTATTGCAAAACCTTAAAAACAGCCTCTGTCCATGGAGTTAGAGTTAATAGGACCTGGGTGTAGGACATATCACTGCTCCTTCTCTTTAGCTTTCAAAAAAAAAAAGAGGCGGCCTGGGGACCAGAGCATGCTGATCCCTGCTGAAGGCGAATAAGACCGTGCCTCAAAGTGTTGATTTTCTTCCTTGAAGACTGTTTGCTCAGCTTTGATTGCCAATGTTTCCAGTTGCCATATCAACCCGAGAAATTTGCTTTGCAATTGACAGCCTATTTTTCAACCCTGGATTTTAAAATTTGGTTGCAACCTCCCCCAGATTTCCTGTTGCTCGAATGCCATCCTTTTTTAAGCGTCTGTTTTCCAAGAGAGTCTGTTTATTTGGCAAAAGGGCCATTCCCTGTTGAAGAAACACATCAGCAGAGGTCTAACTATCAGGGTCCGTGCTTTGGCTGGCAGCAGCAGCAGCTGCCATTTGGGCACCTCTTCTTAATGGGTGCTTTGGGCTGGCGTCCTGGGATGGTATCCCAGTTGCTTCCCCCCTCCCCATTATATTACTGCACATAAGACAAGAATTTCTCATCAGATTAAACTCCTGATCAAGATACAATGCGCCATTCTCCAGTGAGTGGCGAGCACTGCCCCTCTTCTTTGGGGCCAGGATGCCTTTCTTACACCACTTCAAGGGAACCCACAGTCACTTGTGCCATTGCAACCTTTTCCCTCCAGCCCTGTGACCTCTCAACCACCCAGTGACCAAAACTAGGAGCAAATCTGGTGCAGTGCACACAGCGAGTCTGCTGCAGACAATCTATAACATTTTTTCAAGGTGAATATACTGGGGGGGGTGGTTTAAGGGCAAAAAGAAAGGAAAAAAACCCCTGAATCTTTATCTTTTTAAAACGGAGACGCCACCCCAGCAGGAAATAATGGATCGCTGTGACAGTGGCTTGCCTGAGAGCCTGTAGATTTATGTAATGAGAAATACAAGTCTTGCAAAGAACATTGTTAAATCTTTTCAAAATTTCAGCAATAAGCCATTTTATTGCTAATAATATAGCTAGATTCTTCTTTTGAAGAATCTAGGAATGTTTGACAAGAAGGGAAAATGGATAGGACTCGAGGCAGCGTAATCTATATTTTTCATTTACCTTGCTTGAAGCTTGAACAACACATGTGCCACAAATGATTTGTTTATTACTCCGAGCCCCTAAGGAGACTGGTATCCATTCTCAGGAGCATAATGGCTATTCAAATGAAAGCTTTAATAGATTGTTGCAGATTTGATATCAATGCAGCAAGGGAAAGAGATATGCAAATGTTTGAAATTAAGCAAACTAGCCACAGCCTTTCACCTCGGGAGCTACCGTTTCAAATTGGGACCACCTTACAAGTGAAATGAGTTTTTTCTGGTCTCAGTCCAGCCCTTTTGGGCTCTGGGGGCCTTTTTGGGTTTGTCTCACAACAGCAACGCACAGTGTAATGTGCGTCCAACTGACATTCGTGACTCAAGAGTGCCCCAAAAAAGGCTACAATAGCACAGATATTGCAGGTCTGGAGTGAGGTGGGTTGGCAATACTATGCCTGCATCACTACAGCTACTACTTTTGCCCTTCTGTTGGGGCATGGAAATTGAGGATGGAGAAGAACTGCTCACAGGTATACCCAAGATGCCTGTAAGCTGCAAATGTGACAGCTCCAAGGGAACCCAGGTATATGCTTAGAAAAAGTAGAGCTATAATGGTGTAAGTGTAGGTGGGGTATGGGGAAAAATTACCCCCGACAGCCATTTGCTCCGTGGCTGCCAGTCACAAAGGGGCACCTTCCACATGCAATGGGTACAGACCACAGTGCACGGCCCCTATGACAAGGTACCCCCAATAGAGGGAAACTCCAGGTATACGGGGGGCTGCCCTTAGATTTTTCCCCACCACTACAAAAATGAATCTGAGCCCCTGGCTGCAGCTTGTACACCGTTCAGTTGTGTCTTCTGCATTGCAAGACTGTGCTGGGGGAGCAACGTGTGGCTAAGAGGGTTCCCCCGGTTCGTTCTGTGTAGAAAACAGGACCTAAATCCACCCCAAGGAGTGCCAGATTACTGGGCTGCCCACCCTATAATTGAAGCTGTGCCAGCAACACCCGAGCGCATGAAACCTTGAGGGGGAAATATAATAATTATACATAAAAAAAAAACCCTGCAAAAGTTTTTAGTGTCTTCTAGGTTCTTGTAAAACTGCTATTATCTTGTCCAACCCCCCAGTGCTTTTCATGCAATTATCAATTATGCCGTGCGGATTTCAGAATGCCGAGCCTGAAACACGGAGGCCACGTTTCAAGGAAGAATGTGCCGTATTGAGCAGTCCTCCTGGCAGCAGTCACTCATTTATTACTTAAACACAACAGAGCATTAAAAATAACGCAGGCGACAGAAGAAAAAAGCTGGTCCTGCAGTGAAAGCACTTGGGCTGAGACGCAGGAGATCTGCATTTAGGTCCTGGCTATGCTACAGGCTTCCTCTGTCAACTTGGGTAAGTCACTTAAATCTCAGCTACCCATCTGTAAAGCGAGGAGAATATTAATTCCCGTGGGTTAAAGGGGTGCCTTTTATTCTGTAGTGTTAATAGTACAACAGTAGTGCCTACTGGTACCAGCCTAAATCGGAGCCCCATTGTGCTAGACACTGCAGACAGACATAGAAACATTTGCTGCCCCAAAGAGCAGGATATTGTTCACAAGGGTCCAAACCAGGACTATCCTGAGCAACCTGGGGTTGTACACCTAACCTGGGTTGGGACCTGTAGGTGGTGATGTAGCAGCCGTAATAAATTAGTTCATAGATTCATAGATGTTAGGGGCTGGAAGGGACCTCGCAGATCATCGGGTCCAGCCCCATCCCCGCTCTAGAAAGAAACTATCACTTATAGTTGCTATAAGTGACAGGGAATCAAAAGTCCCTACCTACACGTGCCCACAAACTCCGTGTGCTTCCAAAAAAGCTTGGTCTTGCGTTGAGCCTTAGGATACTTTTCAGAAAAATGGGGGCCTAAACTTTAACATGGCCAATAATGAAGGTTTATAGATAAGAGTGTGATTTTTTTTTTCTTATCTGATTCATAAAAAAACAATATAAATTAATTGGACAAAAACGGTCCCAAACACTATAGTTTGCAATATTTGGGACTGTTGCTGCAGAATAATTTAGTACGTTTATATGGATGGAGAGGTGTATGCATTACTGCTGTTTAGTGACCACATGAAATTATAAAGACCCTCCTACGATCTTAATCAAGCGGTAGTGAGAGAGAAGAAGAGAGACCAAGGCGGCAACATTTCTATCTGCATTAGGTTTAGGCTGGTTCAAGGGTAGGCTGAGATCTGGATTCAACAGCAGCAAATTTCTGTGCCCCCTTTTTGGCAGATTTTGTCCACATCTAAGTAAACATTAGGCCATAAGCCTCTTGGGAGCTCAAATCCAAAATGAGGCCGAAATATAATGGGACAGGAATACGTGCTCTCGTACCTCCTCCTGCCCTCTCCTGGAGTCTTCTAGCCTCCCGTCTGGGGTCCTGAGCACTCAGCACTCCCACGCACCTCAGCGGGGTCTGTGGGTGCGCAGAGTATCTGAAAACCAAGCGGGCGACAGGTGTTACTTGTGGTTCATCTGTAACACACACGAAAAAATAGACGTCTCACCATTTTTTTTCAAAATGAGTGTCTGATCTAGACAAACGGATCCAGTTCCCTTGCAAACGTGAGTTCCTGATTGTGCGAGTCCAATGGAGACTTTCATTAGAAGGACGGCCAGCCACTTTGTTGGTGTACTAGACCACCACCATACTCCAAGGCTGAGGTGGTCAGGAATTGACAAGTGAATATGTGTGTGTGTGCATGCGTGCATATGCGTGTGTAAAATAATAATCATAATAATAATCATAATATCATTGGAAAATGTCAATTAATCAAAACCGAAACTTTTCATGAGAAAGGGTTCATTTTAACAAACCTCATTGCATCTCATTTGCAATTTTTTTGTGAGTTTTCAAATTGTCCCAAATCACCTGTCTGCTTTAAACAAAGTTTGGCTTTTTTTTTATTAGAAATGGCTTTATGTTTTGAAACGTAAGTTGATTTAGAATATAAAAAACCATATTAAAAAAAGCAAGAAGGTCAGAAGTAAAACTTTTTTTTAAAATCTAAGAACAAAACTTTTCAATGGGCCAAACTAGTTTGAAGGTTTTTT